CTCGTCTTGTCGCTAAAGGATTTACTCAGAAGGAAGGCATCGACTATACAGAGACTTTCTCTCCAGTATCATCGAAAGACTCTTTTAGGATTTTAATGGCACTAGTGGCACATTTTGATCTTGAGCTACATCAGATGGATGTTAAGACAGCGTTTCTTAATGGAGACATTGATGAAACGATTTATATGGTGCAACCTGAAAACTTTGTTTCTAAAGATTCAGAGCACATGGTTTGCAAACTAAAGAAATCCATCTATGGGCTTAAACAGGCATCTCGTCAATGGTATCGCAAATTTCATCAAGTTATAACCTCTTTTGGTTTTGAGGTAAATTTGGTGGAAGATTGTGTATATCACAAGTTCACTGGGAATAAGCACATTTTCCTGGTTCTGTATGTTGATGACATACTACTAGCCTGCAACGATATAGGCTTATTGCACGAAACCAAGAAATTTCTATCAAATAATTTTGAAATGAAAGATCTTGGTGACGCTTCTTTTGTGTTAGGTATTCAGATACTCCGGGATGGCTCCCGGGGCATACTTCAGTTGTCACAAAAGACCTATATCGAAAAAGTTCTTAAGAGATTTGGAATGCAGAATAGTAAATCATGTGATACCCCAGTTTCTAAAGGAGACAAATTTTGTCTCGAACAATGCCCTAAGAATGATTTTGAGAAAAAGGAAATGCAAAGGGTTCCTTATGCTTCGGCTGTAGGAAGTCTTATGTATGCTATGATTTGTACGCGTCCAGATATTGCGTACATTACTGGAGTTTTAGGCAGATTTTTAAGCAATTCAGGTTTGGATCACTGGACAGCAGCCAAAAGGGTTATGCGGTATCTTCGAGGAACTAAAGATCATATGCTCACATATAGGAGGTCGGATCAGTTAGAGGTCATTGGGTACTCCGACTCAGATTATAATGGATGCCCTAACAGTTTCAGATCCACTTCAGGCTATATTTACATGTTAGCCGGAGGAGTTGTTTCCTGGAAAAGTGTTAAACAAACACTTATAGCTACTTCAACTATGGCAGCTGAATATATAGCTTGTTTTGAGGCATCCAATCATGCAATATGGTTGTGAAATTTTGTCACAGGGCTACAAGTTATAGATGGTGTTGACAGACCACTTAGATTATTTTGTGACAATAAAGCAGCTGTTGAATTTTCTAACAACAATAGGAGCTCTACCAAGTCTAAACATATAGATATTAAGTACCTAGTTGTTAGAGAAAGAGTTCAGAATGGTCAGATTTCTATAGAGCACATTGGGACAAACTCCAATATTGCAAATCCATTTACCAAGGGTTTATTACCCAAAGTCTTTCTTGAGCACACTGCTCAAATGGGTGTTCTTTTGTCTTAGGATATGTTAGATCAGTGGGAGTTTGTAATTTATGTTTTGTTTATGGATATTTGGTTTTAATGCTGCAGCATAAAGCATATAGTTTAAAGCTCTAAAGTTCTATTTTGGTCTGCTTACATTCTGATTTTATATTTGATCTCACTAAAGATTAAGTAGGACCAGTTGGAAATAGACATGTTACATATCACATTACATGTAATTTCCATGCTACACATCCACACTTGATCCATGTCATTTAGTTATATTAATGTGTGTGACCACTGATAGGTTTAGTTGTCATTCGTGCAACGACTGCCACTTTGATCCTATGCTAATATAATTAATGGACAGATTGTTTAAGTTACTTTATGATAGCAAATTATGCGCGCTCTTAAATTTACAGTGTAATATACAATTATAAAGAATATGTTTGGTGTATAGTCCAAGTGGGAGATTGTAAGGTTATTTTGGACTTATACACTAAACATATAATTGTATATTATATGCTATCATAAAATATAGCCCAATTAAAGTGATCTAAATTATATTAACTGAAGTTTTGGGCTAATTATTAATTAAGTTAAAGTTGTGGACATCATTGTGTAGAAACCTAAAAGACCAGGGTTCTTTTCTGTGATGGGTGGAAAAAAAACCCTACTACTATATAACTGGTTGTGGTCTCCGGGTGAGTCTTTACGCCGTCAAAACTGCCTCCCCATTTGTCAGTTTGAGAACTCACGTTCTTTACCCGGTTAAAGAAATCATCTGGAAGATCAAACCAAACCTAAAGAAATTATTCATCCGCAATGGATTCAGGTATGCTTCCGCATTAGTTTGGTTCTCGTTATTTGATTTGGAGTGTTAGGCTAAAGGATTTAATCCTACAGGTTGTTGATCTTCAATGGCGGGATTTCCGCTGCCAAAGCGATCATTGACACCATCCTTTGAAGATGTTAAGGGTTTGGGGTGTTGAATTGTTTGATCTGTTTCACCTTCAGTAGGAGCAAAGCTAATATCTCTCTCCCCAATTTGCAGGGTTTCATGTTGTGTTGGGGAAATCCTGTTGTTTTCAATTGCATCTTCTTCAAGAGTTTCATCTTTGGATTCGTGTTTCTCCTTCTCCATTGTGGCTTATTTATCTTTTTTGTTTCTTCCCCTTTTGAAGTAATACTGGAAAGCGGAAGGGATAAATTGAACGTTAAAGAAACCTACAAGAACTTGAGGAGGTTTCTCCTTCTCCATTGTGACTTACTTAATTGGGTCAATTAAATATGCCGTCCTTTAAGGTTGCGGCAACTATATTAATGGTCCTCCAAACTTAATAACAATATCACACTCTATCCTCTTGAGATCAACTAGTTAACTTTTATAATGTAAACAAGTGTTTACCCCGCATGTTGTGCGGATTATTCAACATATATATGAGCTTAATAATTTAACGATTATATGACATTTCCGACGGAGTGATATATGTAAAAATAAATATATCCATATTAGTGATATAATTTGAAATTATGTAATTCTTAATGTCAACATGTTTTGTTATTTGAAATACATTTGGAATAGTTTCAATATTCAAAATTATCCAATGTAATTTGTTGTCCATCTTTTTCATTTTGTTGATTTATGATTTTATGTGTTTCAAAAGTATACTCTTAATTTTACATCATTAATTATCTCTTTTAATATTTTTATTCGTGTCACATCTATCAAATTCTCCCTTTAAGATTTCTCATTATTTCTTTCCATAGACTTACCTTTGGACTGTTTCCCAAAAAAAAATTAATTAAAATAAATATGGACAAATTTAAATTTTTTAGAATATTAGTGGACAGAAATATATCCCTCGGATTTCTGAAATCTGAGTTCTAATTAAAATTAAATATTCGGATTTCGGAAATCCGAGCCTATATTTATTAATAAAATAATAAGTAAATAAATTTTGTTGAATAATAGTTTTTAAAAATTCTTAAATGAACAGTGCCGTTCGGATTTGCGGAATCCGAATGTAATTAAAAAATAATAAATTGAGGCGCGAAATATTTGAACTCAAATAAACAGTAGTACTCAGATTTACAAAATCCGAGTGTACAAAAGATAAAAGAAAAAAGTAAATCGGCGCGAAATTTTTTAATCCAAAAACCGGAAGTCCGTAATCCGGTTTTCCGTATTCGGATTTTGGAAATCTGACTGCTTTTAATTTTGGTTGGTGGAAGTAGGTATGTGACATAAATTAGAAGACCAAAAAATGAATAAAAAAATTCGGAATTGACCAAACTCGGATTCAGGAAATCTAAGGCCACGGTAATTCGGATTTCTAAAATCCGAGTTACTTACGGACTCGGATTTCGGAAATTTGAGTTTAACGTGCTATAAAAGAAAAAAAAATTCAGACAGTTCTCATTCGAGAACTGAGTTGGATTTTCTGTTTTTGCAGCTCAAACAAGGGCGAATTGGAGCTTTTGATGCATTCTTGCCTCTAGATACGTGGAAATCGTTATCTGAAAGAGGTTAGATTGCAAAATCATGTTATTTAGTTTAGTTTTGTGTTATTTTGATTGTTAGAATGATGTATGATAGATTAGGGTTTATGTTGGTTGGTTGTTTGGATGTTTTAGGTTTTGATTTTGAGGTTAGAGATGAGAAATCATAGTTATTCATGAGATATGGAAGTTGATTTATAAGTATTTTAGTATTTTATAGGTTTTTTGAATTATGAATGTAGTATATATGGTGTATTTGTTGATTTTGTTATTAAGAAATGATTAGATATTGATGTTTTTTTAACAGTTGTCAATGGCACGTAATGTATCATACATGCTTAATTTATTTCATACAAGCAAGTATGTGATAGAGAATGGTAGCATCAACACTTTTTTGAATATGCCGGATGATGGTTTGTTTGTTGAGGAAAGGTTGTCATATGAGGGATTGATTAGTAAGATTTGTATGACACTTGGTTGGGATCCAGCACACGTGAAACTCCACCTTTCTTTAATTTTCGATACTCCCGGTGGTATGCATGTAGTGAAGATCAAGAAGGATTCGCATGTAGAGTTCATGAACCGTGTAGATCCAATATCATGTTTAGATTTATACATAGATTTGGAAGATATCACTCAAGAAGAATGAGAAGCGAGTTTGGAAAACGTGTCATTTGGTGGTTTTCCAAGGGGGGAAGGTGCTAGTACTTCTCGAAACTGTGATGAAAAGGAGACACCTTTATTTGCACAAGATGACAACCGGGAAGAGTCGGATTCCGACTACATAGCTCCAAGTGAAAGCGAAGAAGACTGTGATGTCTCCGGAGAGAGTGATTTTGAAGAAAGTGATGATGAAAGGTTGGAAAATGAGGAAAGAGATTGTAATCCATTGCCCTGACGCCATGTATATAGTAAGAAGGGGAAATGGAATGTCTCATGTGTGGACAAGGATGAGTTTGCTCTTAAGATGTGGGATGAGACGCCCGAAGGAATGGACATTGGTGTTTGTTTCAAATCTCAATCAGAAGCAAAGCATGCTGTGAAATTATAGAATATCCATCATAAAAGGGAATATACAGTTGCCGCGAGTAGTCCAACGACGTGGGCTGTGCGGTGCAGAACATTAAATGTGGAAAATGAGGATGGTGAACCACCATGTGAGTGGAAGATGCGTGTGTCTTTGAAAGCTCACAGCCTTCATGAAATTGTGAGATGGCATGATGCACATAATTGCATGACTCCCGTGAATGATAATGACAATCGGTGTATGGACGCATCTTTGATTGCTAGACTCATCAGGAGAAAGGTTGAGGACAACGTAGATTATACGGTAGCCTCGGCACAGAAAGATGTGAAGACCTTATTGAAAGTAGATGTGCCATACAAAAGGGCGTGGCACGGGAGGAGGAAAAGCCATAGAAGCAGTCTATGGTGATTGGACCTCGAATTTCGAAGAACTTCCACGGTAAATATCAACTTTTATCCGTGTATTGAAATATTTTGTGTTTTTTTTACATGTATTGAAATATTTTAACTATGACTTGTTTGTTGTGTAGGTATATCGCTGTGCTTAAGTTTACTAATCCTGAGACTGTAGTAGCGTGGGAATGGAAGGAGGGACAAGAAGGTTGGAACAGGAGAAATAGGAGATTTAAATACGTCTTCTGGTCATTTGCACCAGTGGCTGCAACTTTTTTTGAATTTCCACCGGTCATTTGTATCGTTGGAACCTTCTTGCATGGTGGATACAAGGGTAAATTGCTTGTTACGGTGGTCTATCCCGTAAACAAGCACATTTTACCGGTTGCATTTGCGATTGTGGATGAGGAGACAATAGAGAGTTGGACATTTTTTATGAGGAATTTGAGGTTGTGGGTTGTGTATGATAGAATCGTAAGTGTGATATCCGGCCGAAATGCAGGGTTGTTGAGCACAATGTCACAGATGGGCCGTAGATACGACAGCGATTTTTGAGGGAGATAACAAAATACGGCACCGGAGGTTAAGGAAGTCATTAAGAGAGCCGGTTTTGAGGGGATAATGAAAGTAGGCTACAAAAGAGTGGATCTCGGTCTCATTACCGCGTTGGTGGAACGGTGGAGGCCAGAAACCCAGACTTTCCATTTCAATTTCGGAGAGACGACTGTGACACTATAGGATGTCGAGGTCCTCTTTGGTATTCGGGTGGATGGTGACCCGGTGTACGGGACGACAGTGAGCTGGAATGCAGATGAATGGCGGGATCGATGTGAGACTTATTTGGGATTCCGGCCAGCCCAAGTAAATTGCCAATGTGTCAATGTTGGTATTTTTGAGGATGAGATGGGCCGTGCACTCCATGAGAATTCCGTAGTCCAGCGATTCGAGCAACAGGCCCGGACACTTATACTGCATTTTATTAGCAGTTTCATGTTTCCTAATAAGACGCAAAACACTGTCAATCAGCAGTTCTTGGCCCAGGTTGAGGATTTGGATCAGTGTAGTTGATACAGTTGGGGATCGGCACTGCTGACTGGTTTGTACTCTGGACTGTGCGAGGCATCACAGTACACCATGCACGATGCCACTGGCTGTCTATATTTGCTACAGGTACGTATTAGTTTTCACTTAGTGTTATAATTGTGTTTTTGCTTTCGACGTTATAATTTGAAGTTTTAACATTATTATTGAAATTTACTAGGTATGGGCGTATGAGCGGATCGAGAGAATCGCGCCACAAAGAAAAGGAGTAGATTATTTGATTGATGAGACCGCTCCATTAGCTCAGCGGTACGTATTTTCAGTTCAAAATAACTCAATGTTTATTTCTATTTTTTTTTCATTTCATCTTTTTTACTAATTCAAATGTACCCCTTCATGTTTGTTCATTAAGGTGGAAATGTAAGTATACCTACGGAGACGCCCCAAGGAACAGCACTCCACCTTTTAGAGATCAATTAACAAGCCTGTGTGTTGAAGAAGTAAGTAATTAATTTGGTATTTATATTTATTTGAATTTCTTTTCGTTCCGGTTATACCATCTAAATAATTTCTTTTCGTGCAGTTTCGGTGGCAACCATATGCAAAGGTCCTTCGTAGACTCCCTGATTTCTGTAAACAAGGCCAAGCCATTTGGATGACCAGGTGTTGGATGTTCTGCTGGGCTATTAGGGAACCCCACGAGTCGGGCAGAGTTGTGAGACAATTTGGATACATACAAAATGATCCCAAGCGCCCTATGATTACAGATAACGCAGCATTTCTTCTCAATCACGCCCACAGTATGTCTGGGTATCATAGCAACAATTGGGTGGATCACCATTCCGCAGTACGTCGTCATTGGAATAGGAGAGAAGAGTACGTGTTACGAGATTTGGAGGAAGGAGACCCTGGCTCCGTATATGAGGGGTGCTATGAATGGTTCATGGTGAACACTGTCAGGCTGATATCCAATCGCAAAAATTATGAACCTCAAGGATACGAGACTTCTTCGAGCTGAATGAAATTATATGTGAGTTCATTCTATATATATTTTTTTATTTCTTATGTTTTCTTTTTATTTTTTATTTTTTTAATTTTATTCTCTTAATTAACGCCCCAATTTCTTTTTAGGGTGAAGTATTAAACAACATTCGCGTGAGTTCCGAGAAGTTTAGAGAAAAACGAGAAGATGAGAATCTCCTGGACGAAGAACTCGACAAGCATTTGGGCGATATCATCAATCAAATACATGCTTCTTTAACCCTGGGTGCAAATGATGAGATGGACGTGGAGGATACCAAAATCCTTGTTGATGAAGATCCATCTTTGCCCTCACAACCTCCGCCAGGTAAAAAAGCGAAACCGTGGTCGAGAGATAAGATTGGAGGTAAAAAGAGAAAGGTCCCAATCTTCCCTCGGACATCGCAACAACAAACTGAGGGTCAACAAAATGAGGATCAAGCACATTCTTCTCGAAGTTCGCGCATCAAGATCGAGACTCAACTTGAAAACATTGGTGGACCCGAGACTGAGTTTGACCTAGGTGGACCCGAGACTGAGTTTGACCTTGGTGGACCCGAGACTCAGTTTGGTGGACAGTCGCAACCACAACCGGGAATCAAATTTCTCACCATGGGGGAGTCCCAATCCTAACCCCAACCCGAGCCTCAGTTTGGTGCAGTCGCAACCACGACAAAGTTTAATACTCACGTATCCTAAGAGGGGAGACAGGATCTGGCAGTGCCCAAATAAATACACTCCTCCTGTGCACAATAAAGAAAAAGGGAAAAAATGAGACTTTTGATGTATTTTGCACATTTAAAGTAGTTTTTGTATTGATTTTGGTATGAAACTTGATTTGTTTTGTTGTTAATCGAATGCCGTTTATTGTTTTGTTGCCATTAAATTTCTGTTTTCCAATGTTTCATTGTTGTTGGTGCTGTAAACAGGTTTTGGACTGGTTAAAACCAGTCCAAATTTTTTTTTAGTTCTGACATAGACTCGGTTTACGAAATCCGAATCCAGACTTTTGTAAAGGATTCGGATTTCGCAAATCCGAATCTGTAGCCAACTGGGAGTTAGCATTTTGCAGAAAATAGAGGAGATTCGGATTATGGTGATCCGAATCTTCTTTCATTCGGATTACCGTAATCCGGGTTTTCCCAAATTTAATTTTTCAACACATATTTTTTTTCTCTCCGAAAATTAATATTTTATTGATAAATACGGATTTGACAAATCTGGATTTAGATTAATTACACTAATTTCTGTCATTAACTTAATATCGGATTTACATAACACAAAGTCGGATTTCTCTCATCCGAGTTTAGAGAGGTTCGGATTTCAGAAATCCGAGTTTACCCCCCATTCGGATTTCCGAAATTCGGGACATATAAGTTTGTCCATAAAATTTTTGGAAGGTTTACTTTTGTCCAGATATATATAAGGAAATATATTTAAGGAAAAAATTCCTTATCTTTAGTGTCTATGTCTCTATATATCTTTTGCAACCTTTCCTTAGAATATTGTCTGTATGTTTTTCCTATAATAATGATTACTTCATTTTTTTTTTTGTTGCATATTTTTCACCTTTTTTTGTCTAAATTTGATTACCTCTCTTTAAAGGTTCATTTCTTAAAAACTTTGTAGTAATTATTCATTTTCACTATTATATCTCGATTTCTTTTTTCATATTTTCTTATTCTCTATATATTTTTTCCCTATATAATTATTTTCAATTTTCTCAATATACTTTTCTCTATTGTTTGTCTCTCACAAAGACTTTTATTTTTTTTCTCATTTTGGAAAACTTTCTCACTATTTATCTCTTCATTTTGTTTTATCACCGTAACGTTAAATTTTTATACAATTATATAATATACAAGGGCTAAATTAATTTAAATATTTATTACTTACAAATTTTTTTTTCAAAGTTTATCTTATTTGATAATAATATATAAAGAAAGGAATAGTAAAGGGGACCATGCTGATCTTCCGTTTTGGTCAATTGACCTTGAACTATAACATCACAAACAGTAGTAATTGATGATGATAATAAAATAAAATTTTAAAAAACCCTTACTAAATACAAATTTGATACTTCCCAACCAATAGGCGCTTTGTTTTATTGACCTGAATAGTTTTCTACAAAGTCTAGGACTGATTTCTTGTCATAAATAAAAGGGAGATACGAAACGGAGGGAGAAGTGAGATGTTGACCCATAGGAAATTGAATTACAGTCTAGTAGTTAGGATATTGTACTTCCTAATATTACTAGTGATGTCTGGTTGCGCAATGCGCGATCCTGGCCCAATATATCTGTAGATCTTAGAAATATTTGTATCTGAAAAAAAATATTTTGTATTTGGCCCGATATATTTTTGAAATATTTGAAGAATTTTAGAAATGTTTTACAAGTGTGATATTTGTATTTGGCAAAAAAATAAATTGTATTTGGCCTGGTACGTTTTAGAAATGTTTGAAGCTTTTAGAAATATTTTATAAGTTTTACTTCTTAAATATAAATAAATTTAATCAAATATATGTCTTGAAGTAAATGCTAGACAAAATATAAAAGCATCCTAATAAGTTTAAATATTAGTAAGATAATTTACTGATTTTCTCCATTGGTTGTGCCAAATCAATACTTAGTTTTGGAGATTTATAATAACTTTGTAGTTAGCTTCTTCCAAAGGGTATACGCTTAATTGTTGGAACTATTTCCTCCAAAAATTTATAGGTAGTAAAATATCAAAAATATGATTTTGAAACTGGTTAATTCTTGAAACTGGTTCATCACAAATATGAGAATAAAAATAATATAAATTTGCATAGGTTTCAAGATATAGCAAAAAAGAACTCACCTCACGATGGCAAATAAAAAAAAAGATAGCCATTAAAATTTGAGAATTTTTATTTTTTTTTGTAGGTAAAAATGATGTATAAAAACACAAATAAACGTAGAAACATCATTCCTTCCCTCTCCACCTCAAATTCATAAAAGGATTCCCCATAAATTAGTTAAAAGAAGCGACCTGAACTATTTATATGATGAGGAACTAAAAAAAGTCTAAAAACCAAATCCAAAAAAGTATATTCTTGAAATCCCGAACTTAAAAAAAAGAAATGTGCTTCATTTGCAAATAAAATAATAATAATAATAATAATAATAATAATAATAATAATAATAATAATAATAATGGTCAACTGGGAGTATGAAACAAAATCAAAAGCAATTAAACAAAGAAAAAACACACTTTATAATTGGCCATATACGAAAAAAAAAAACTTGAGACTCCATAATTAAAAAAAGAAAACCACTCTAATTGAATAAAACATAAAAAACAAATTTAAAAAATCACACTTTGTAACAAAAACCCAATCAATCAATTCAATCCAAACATAACTAAAATCATACAAAAATTCTAGGCTAACTAACCAAATAAGAAATCACATCATACTACCTGACAACGGTTACGGTAGCTATAACGGATGGACGCATAAAAATAATAGTAATAACATTATTCTTGAACGGAAAAAATAAAAAGTAATAAAAGCCAAACCAATGATCTGTGGAAATAAAATCATTTAAAATTTAATACCTGCAATGGCACCACCACAACGGCCGAAGCAAGATCAATGAGAATTTTTTTTTTCTTTTGTATTTATATAGAGAGGTAAAGAGAATATTTTTTGAAGTTGAAATTTTATCCGATTAAGATGTAGTTGATCATCACTAATGAAAAGATTGAATATGCTAATAGGAAAGGAGTATATTTCACCTGATTGATGAGGAATTTGTTTTTTTTTTTAATTGTGGAGAAGGGATTGATTTAGGAGTCGAGTGTCGTGGAGATGGGGAAGAGGATTTGGCTTTTTTATGAACCCGTGGTTTTTTTTTGTTTGTTTTGACGAAAATAGGAGGTGGAAGTGAATTTAGACTGCATTTGCCTTTTAAATTTAAGAGATGTGATAACAAAAATTTATTTTAAAAATATGATGTGGAAATGCCACATGGCAAATGATGGTGCTTTCTCTTAAGTGTGGTTTTTGTTTCTAATATAGTAAGATATCTGTGTTCAATTTCCACCAAGGAGTATGTGAGGGAATTTTAACCATATTTAAGTGAGGTCTACTGTGATAGATTTTTTTGTTTAAAAAAAAAAAGTCGACCCAATAACTCTTTAGATGTTTAGCCAATGTTTTCTTTCCTTTTGCCTGCCAGCCTTCATCATTATCAACGTCGGCAGCCCTGATCAATATCTGAATAGGTACGCTATATATGAAGAGCGTGTCTGAAAATAATATAAATTGTAAATTGGTTAACTTGCTCTTGATTAACCGAATAAAATTTGTTATTTATATATTTTCAATATTTACGAATAAAAAATTATTGTTAAATGATAGAGTAATGTGATTGTAACATGTGTACTTGACTATCTTTTTTTTTGCCATGTAAATTATCTTATCTCATTTTACGCCTGGTGTCAGATTGAAAACTCTTTTTTAATATATTCTATTTGTTTATTTATTAATAATAAAAATACCAATCTATTCTATTTGTTCCAAAAATTGATAATTTGTGTAATTTTCCTGTGGTCTGAGAAAATTTTTATTAAAAAATAAAAGATGTATCCAGACTCCAGAGCAAACATTCATTGGAGGATATCATTTTTCAATTCATTGTAAAAAGATATTTGTTTTATATTTGTTCCAATTTGTATTTAGCAAGATATGACCATTAACTATTGTGTCATGATAGAAAGTTTACTCGAAACTCAATAAAAGATACCCCTCACATATTTTATGGTAATCTAGTAATTTGGATTTCATGCCAAATTGGAAGATGAGCTTCGATTTCGCAAATTTGTAAGATGTTGATCTCTAAACTCTAATCAATGGGATGAAAATTAAAAGGAGATAATAATTAAGAATAGTCAATTAATCATAATACTGGAGTCACATAACAAATAGCATTATTATGAAAGCACTAATAAAGTAAATAAAAATGTAAAATTTACCGTTAAAGGGCAATCTCCTAATTAATTTTAGTTTCATCTATAATTTTGTAATCTATAGTACTTAATTAAAGCAGCAAACAAAAAGGACACCTGTCAGCACTACAATGAAAATTTTCCCGCCAAAAGTTATTTTCAGTACAAAATCATTTTTGACAAGTGGCACTATAACTAATCAGAAAAAAAAAGATGGAATAGATAAATACATAAATCCCTTAATTATAGCTACATAAAAATCTCTTAATTATAGGTATATACTAATCTTTTAAAACAACAATATTTAATTATTAAAATCAAATGTAAGGAAATCCCCTTAAATCAAGTGAAACATAATAATGTCTTCCCAATCCCCAATTTCAAAAAATCTCTTCCATTCCACTCCTCTCTCACACCTGGGCCTTTAAATCAATTACTTAAAATCTGACATCAATTATCAATCCACATCTTTCTGTAACAGAGAAAAAATAAGCTGTCATGAAAGAAATTTGATTTTTTAAAGATGATTTTATTTTTATTCTTCTATTGTAGATTTTAGTTTATGATTTATGTAAATCCGGGCATAAGTTAACTGTTGTAAATTAAATGTTATAAATCTGGACATAGATTTATGTATAATAATTCACTTTCTGTCCTTT